ATATGGAATTTCTATTCTCGTGTTCAACTCGAAGAGAAATTTCATATCTACGCGCGCCCATGTATTAATCTCCATGATATAGGTGGCAGCGCCCGCAAAACAAACAATTGCGTGGAGCGAAGTTTGAAACTTTTGGACAATGGTGGCGATAGATTCGCAAAAAGCGGAAGAGGACAATGGAAACAAAGAAAACATAAATGACTCTCGAGAGCTTATTGTGCTACAACCACAGTTGGCTTTATTTCCCGGCTCTCGAAACGAACAGGTCGTTCTTAATTGTTGTTGAAGAGATGTCGTTTTGCAAAATATAATTGGTCCAGGGATAAAGTGGCTATCGAGTAATTGACTTGATACGAATCGCATAATTCTTTCTTTGATTTTATTTGATCTGTAAGAGACAATACATAATTCTTAAGAAATCTAATGGCGAGCGATTCGTGAAATTAGATGCGGAAAATACGAAATTACAATACTGAAAATCAAACTGGTTACAAAACAAATTACTCACTTCTGTGGCGTTATCCAGTCAGAAATTACTACAGAACAGGTCAGCGAGATGGGTCAGCAGAAAAACTACAGGTTAGCTAACGAGGACTAGTACTTTCTTTTTCACAACTGAAAAACGTACGCGTGTCATTTTATCTCAGGTAAACTTACTTAAACGATTGCGCCATCGACTGTCAATCAAGGCTACAATCAAATATCAATCAGCTAATTTGTAAAAATCAATCGACGAAACAATAATAGATCCTTTGTTGACCAAGCTTGTGCGGCCAAGATGGCTGGATAATAGCCTCGTTCCTTTTTCTTAGCGGGCTTTTATGGGCCTCGCCTTCATCTCAGCCATAACAAAGCGAAATAGACTCGACCAACATCCAGCCATCTTAACCCCCCGCTAAGTGAATAACGCATGTTTATAATTAGAAATATACAGACTCTTGATTTTCATCAAGTTTATAAATGATACTCGATATGTCTATTTGGTTATCTAACTCTTTCTAAACATCTCAGCGTATCAAACACTGCCATAAATTTTTTTCTTATAATTATTTTTCTCAGGGAGGCACTATACAGAAGAAAATGTCAGCACCTTAACGGATTAATATCTGGGAATGTTTTGAGTTGAATGACCTCGACCAGGCGGAAATGCTTTTGTCTGAAGTAGTGAAATATTAAGCCTTGAGTCAGTCTGACATTTTGATCGACACAAGAGAGTTCTGCATAATATAAAGACCAAACTGTGGATACAAACTTTATTGAGCACCCAACATCGGGGGTCTAAGAGATTGAACATAAAAAATAACATCGTAAACACATAGTCAAAAGTGAATTTGAAGCGGAATGTTTACAAAAAAGCAGCAATCAATCTGGTTAATAAGGTACTTTATATATCTTTGGCTTAATAACACAAGAATAAGAGATATTCATCACATAACTTCTGCGCTTTCTGCTAAACTTTATCACACTTGATCTAATATCAGAATCTTGGCGACTTGGTACTATTTTACCATATATTTTACAAATCACAGCCAATGAAATCCTGAAGCTATTAAAGTTGACCTCTGACAGTTATTACCGGAGGGATCTAAAATAAACCTAATTAAATGAATGATTGGGTGGCAAAGGCGCGTCGTTCAATATGTTTATCCTAATCTCATACATCAATATCTACTATATTTTTTAATTTTTCTGCGGTAATCGAAATAGTTAACGCTTATAGAAAGTTTTAAAAGTGAAGCATGATACTCTAATAAGGATGTGTGAGCAGTATAGTAGGTTTAACAAAGGCATTAACTGGTTTCTTAAAGGACTACATGCTTGCAAGTTCAATGTAGTCTTCAGTTACTAAAATTACTTCGTCGGTCTTTATATTTCCGCATCTCTGTCCATGATTTGTCTCAGAGGTTTCACTTAAGAATTTTTCCACAATTTTTGGAACTTTTTCTTCAACAACCATTGCTCGCAATTTTTCCTGCCATCCTCCATCAACGTAAATAGCGACGATCTTAGGAGACGATAAAGTGAGGAACGTCAACAAAGTTTTCATCAGAGGCGTAGTCTCAGAGGTGGACAATATGGTCAAAGTAAACACAATCAACACAGAAGACACGATCAATATGATCTTCAAAATTAGTTTACAGACACCTTCTCTAAGAGGCCTAAGTTCTTCACATGCCATATCGAAGAGCCTTTTTGGAATTGCCATTATGTTTTCAAGGTCATTGTCTGCAGTGCTGGGTAATTTTTGCAGCTGATTAGAGTTGTGAGGAACGTAGTTGACCTGATTTTGTCTTGAATTCTTGTTGTAATAAAATAAAGCTAAGGCAAGCTCGTGGTATGTTTTCGTAAAATAGCTATAGCTTGACCAGATGTAATATAAAACAAAAACGGAACAAGCCACGTAAGGAAGGTGTTCCTCTGAGAAAGAGAGCGCGAAAACGTTTAGTACAGCAAGTAGAGTACCTAAACCTGAAAATAATAAAAGTATAACGGCACCCATCCCAGGAAAAAACGAGAGGATCAAATTTAAGAAGTTCATCAATAAAATACGTCTTTTTGATTTTGTATTGCTCGGCCTGTATTGAGCGGAGCATAAGGCTGCGACAGGAGAGGTCAATAGAATACCCATTAAAGTTAACAAACAGACTACGATCATTAGCACTATTATTACAACGGGTATACAGAGAAACAGAATGATAAAAAGGGAAAGACGAACTGGCGCTGAGATGATAGAAACTCTGCGGGAGGGAATCACCGAAGTGGACGTTTTTACATAATTTACCAAACACCTTTTAAAAAGCCTCCAACATTCTACAAAGATCAAAGGTTGGAGGCGCAAATGATTGATGATAAGCCGAGGAAGTTCATCTTGACATGAAAGGATTGTTGGTTTAACCAACTTACAAACGGTGCAAGGCTTTGCTTTCATTGGCCTTTTCATGTAAAACGATATGTAAAAAGCCTGAATGCAATAACAAAAACTAGACTCTATAAAGAAGCTTTGCAAGGATGACAGCATTTCTAAAAAGCCATCAATTTTGTATTTAAAATATATTGCACCAAACAGAAATGGAAGAGGTATGATAAAAACTCGCAAAAAGAATGTTTTAGTGTTGTGCCAGACTCCTTCGCCTCTAGAGAAAAAGAAATTTCCCGCTAAGCTTCGGAGACTGACGGGACTTGCTCCTTCAAGATTGATATATGGAACGCCATTTTGCAAGATCTCCGTCGGGTAGAAAAGGCAAAGGAAGGCCAGAGAGTAATACATGAACACTGCGACGAATACAAATGAAAAGCAAATTAAAACCCTACTTGGCCATGCCCTTTGCTCCAATGCTCCTTTAGCGCTGTTGGTCCCGTTTGATATGGTAACATTAATGCATGATCGAAGATCATCTTTTTCCACTGCTTGATAACCGATTCTATCAAATTCAGCTTCTAAATTAATGAGATGACAAATGGTGGAAGAACGGCTGCTGTAGTTCGTGGGGCTTGAAACACTTGTTCTTGCTGGGTTCAAGCTACAAATGGCGCGAATTTCTCTTTGATCTACATTATAAAATACATTATTTATCAAGCGTTTAATCACCGTAGTCGATTGAGAGGGTCTTTTGTTTACCAAGCAGACTTGACAATATTCAGAAGCATATTCGCTTGAGTGAACAGACGTTTCGTTCGCGCATTTGTCGTCCACTGTCTTCTCGTACTGTACACCAAGTTTGATCAATTCGTTGGTCGCCATTGAGGTTTCCATTTCACGCGTGAGTTCTGTTAGATCAGCAGTATGGACAGAACAATTCCAGTTACATCGAATTTGACTGCCGGAGCTGTAACTGTACGAGTTGTATGCAACGTGACTCAGAACAACCATAAAAACCACCAAACGAATTCGAGAAGTTGAAAGCATCCTTAAGGATCGATAGATGTCTACAACCGTCTAACTGAGGCTAAAGTTAGTGAAATATAAAATCCCCTTTAAAACCAAAGTCGTGTTGACGGCTGCACAAGCGGATAAATTTGCCGAATCAGCATTATTTACGCTCGCTTGCGCTTCAAGAAAAGTCTACGTAATGCACTAGTTTGTAAATTGAAACTGAAAGTAAAATAATATGACCGGAAGCAATAAGATAGTGAGGGGAGGGAGGGTGGGGGAAGAGTGGTCCTGTGGAATGAAAAATAATTTAAGTTAATGATTCTTTCTCAATGAAATTATTAGACGAGTGAAACCTTGTGTAAGTTGCAATGCTCCTTAAGCGTGGAATTCAGCGTAAGAAGAGTATTTCATTCAAAAGAATTTCACCATGAATTTCTTTTCACAAAGAATGCATTAGTGAAAGAGACAACTGTAAGATTTTTGAACAAAAGGACCGTAAAAAGGCAAGCAAAACTAAGTCCAGTTACCAAATGCGGAACTCGTGATTCGGAGTGAATCTGTAAGCTTTCGTCCGAGTTTAGGATATAAATAGCTGATTAAGAGAGAGGAAAGTTAGAAAGTTCTTAAAATCTGCCATTCCTGTCAATTGACTGTGGTTTAGCGTGGTATATTCTCTTATCGACAACGATATTCGTCATCACAGTGGTCAAAATGCGTGACTATTGCGTGACACGTTGACGTAAGCAGCATTAAACCAAAACACAGACACGAGTACGTAGAGATGCTTGTTACTGTTGTAGCCAGCTTCCCGGGCATTGCTTAGGTTTCGCCTGCTAATTTAGTCCGTTATAAATACTCGTGTCTGTGTTTTGGTTGTAGGACTCCATCGCTTTAACGAGGAGCTTGTTTCTTCAACATCTGAGACGAATCAGTTGTCCTCACGACAATTGTTACTTGTCCCTGTCTTCTGTTAAGCCTACTTTTTATGTTTTGGGCATCCCTAGAGGAGGGTCTCTATAGCGTAATAGCTTTTTCAGCTAATGGTAAAAATTTTAGCCAATTTACAGCTAACAGGTGAGATCTTTTCATTGCGGTCGTCCAAAACGCTGTGACGGCGGTTTCGAAGTGTTTTGGTATCCACCTACCAAATAGGAGGCAATACCTATGTGACCTCTTTGTCATGCGAAACATAAACAGAAAATGACATGATTTACTTTGGTGAAGCTCCTAAATGGTAGCTTGGATAGCTGAAAATATCTTGTAGCTTAGAAGATAGCACGGTAGCACTCTCTTGACAGCAAATAGCAACCAAATTGACATAATCAGGACACTTATTTATTAAATGTGTAACAAGATCTAACTTACGAAACATCGATTATTATGTAATTATTACCGATACCATAAAACGTGATTCAAATGATCATCAAGTAAAGTGTAAACAATCAAACGAAAGAGTAAAGTATAAAAAAGGGCGTTTCAAAACGAACCACATAAATCCCTAGTGATATGAGTTTCCCTTCTGATTTGCTTGCCAATTTCCTGATACCTCCTTGATAAATAATAACTTTCTTATTTTTAATTTGAATGGGGGAATTTGGTTATTGTTATTTCATTCAGAAGATCTCACAGGGAAGACCTGGGGAAAATAAAAAAAACTCCATGCTGTGGAGGGAATATTACCCAAATGTTTATGATGATATGGCATCCGTTCTAATTTAGTTATCAAATTATTGGTCAACACCTGTCATATTTTAAAATTTGATTGACCTACATTTTTGTTGTCTTTTAGCTGCCATGTATAACAGTTCAAATAAATGTGTTAAAAACAAATAATGTTGTGTTTTCGATTTAGAATTAAAAGAAGAGCGGTGCCCAATCCTTAGTGAAAAGGGTATCCATTCCCAGATTGATGAGAGCCATTCCCCATACCTGCATTCAACAGATCCAAATAAATTGTTTACGTACCCTCGCAGTCATTACAAGATTTGGAGGAGGGAATTTTCAAGTCTCTCGTGAATCCTGTTCAATGTCGTACTCTTGGTGGAATATTGTCATATATTCCTGTTTACAGATCCTGTTTTGCAGTCAATATTCTTATCTCCAATATACACAGAAGATCACAGTGACTATGCAAACAAATATTGCTTCTCAGCTACAGTCTTCGTGTCTGATTTAAGAAACACCAAAATTCTCAGGGATATTTGTATGTCTTTTATCAATGTGGAATATTTTCCAATAGGCCATGTGACCTGGTAAACCATGTAAACTACTAGGGAAGAATTTTATTTGAAATATCACAGTTGTTTACCTTTACCTCAGCATAGAAAAGATTAATTAATTCAGTGATATACCAGCAGGTGCCCTTTCCTAATGAGGCTGCCTGCAGTGTTTTCAATTTGTGAACAAATTTTTAGTAACCGTACTGCAGTGAAGTTGGAACAACCTATGCTTAGAGTGTGCAATATTTCTACGGCAGAATTGAAAATTAAATCACTGATTACTCTTCGATGCTGGGTCTTATGACACAAATGCTTGTGAAAGCGAGGCTTTGATGTATACCTTCGCCTAAGGTATACCTCACTACCGGAGAAGTTTCTGTTGATGTAGTAGCAAAACAGAGGCAAGATATATATATATATATCCACTTGTTTCTTAAACATGTATTGTAATGTTTCATAGATTCTGTTTATAAATTGATAATAGATTCTCTGCTATGGAAATGCTTCATGTGAAGTTATTACACATTTGCATTTAACCTTTGTTCGTCGTCAAGTGGGCCAAGGCCAACACGCAATAGATGTAAACAGCACACCATACTTGGTGATCAAGAACCGCAGCGAAACTTGGTTTTTGTAATACAATATGCCATTACAAAAATTAAGCCATTATCTCTAAATTTTGTCTAATAAACCCACAGAACATCGATCACTAGTTATGTTACGATCATTTCGTCTTTATCGTTCATTTTTAAACTGTTTCTTCATCGTCAATTAACGAGGTTTTCCAGAAAACTTTAAACCAACATTGCTTGCACTGGAAAAAAAAGCGTGGACAAGTAACCTCGTTTTGCTACAGCTCCTTTACCAGTGAATACCAGGAACTCGGCTTAATGCCATACAAACATTGCAAAAACCAAACTACAGTTTTATTTCTTCACCTGTGGTAATCATCCCAGAAGAACTTTCGAAAGAGCACGCGCACTACTGATGCCTGTTAGAGTAATGATCTGCAAATTGTTGTTAAGAATGACGTTTTTCTTGGCTTTGTTAGCTCAGTTTTTTTTTTTTCTCTATCGAAACCAGCATTAATGCTGAACCTGCTATAAGATTTCTCCTAACTGTACTGAGTGGTTCATTTCCCAAAATGATTGAGATACTTCAATTTGCAAGGCAGAAAAATATTGAAGCTCGTAAAATTTTTGACAGGTACAAGAAGATCATAAATTGTAAATTGTTTCAAAGAAAACAATATTGAACGAGCCCGTAGGGCAAGTGCGATTTGTAGTCTTTGAAAAATTTACAAGTGCTTATTACACCAAATTGCACAAGAATTCATGTCGTTACTTGTTAATAATGTATATGATAAAACATCTCGGAGTCAAGACAGACGTAAATTTTGAAAGCGTACAAGTGCTATTTGTAATTTGCACTTGTGTTACAACTTTGCATTCGTATTACACGAGAATGCACTCATTTTAAGACAATCAGAAGCGCGTAATTTTTTTCAACTATTTCAATATATGCAATATAGTGTTGTTTGGGTATATATCAATATGGTGGTTATGCCATTATGTGCTTTTGTGAAGCCCTTTGCAATGTTATTAATCGTTATAATATACATCTCTTTATATAATGGTTAACGCTTTAGACACCAAGATTGATGGTATCACATTTCTCTTCATAATATTCTTGACAAGTAAAGATCATGAGAATCTAAGAAGTGATCACTGATACTCTCATGTTGAAAAATTACTCACACTTTTTGTTGCCATTAGTGAAAAACCGCATTCTGTTATGATAAAATATCTTTAATTTACGGTTACTCAGCTCGACTAGTCAAAAACACCTTTTCCAAAAACCTCGTGGTCTCTAAAACACATGTAAGAAGTACCGTCTAGTCCTTCTCTTGCATCATCCCCTCCATTATAGGCCTGAATCTCCTGATTCAGAGTAAACTATAGAAACATCTGCCCTATGAAACTTGAAACGAAACGCGAAACACTTGAAACGCTAAGTTCTCAAAACAACGTACAATTTACGAGCACGCTGATACATTTCTCTTCGCTTCCCTTACTTCACTTGACGGCATCATACTCTGCCTGAGTGCCTGCTCTAGCTGCTGCAGGTCACTGTTCCCTTCGTTCGATTTTTTCTTCATTGATTTCTCCGGCTTATGTTCCCGCGGAAAATCTAGCAGTAAACCGCTCTCGGCGCCTTCGGGTACTTTCATTTCGTTCCTGTTCATTTCGTCGACTCATCCCATGCAGGATGCAATAATTGTTCCAAAATTGTTACCTTAAATTTTCGCCTCCTTCAGTCATGGGACGTAAAAGACCCTCTCTCAGTCCTGACGCAAAGTTCTTCAAATGACTCATGCAAAAGGGACTAATAGATTGATTTTCAAAGTGTTCACTTATAAATAGCTTCTCTTGTATCCAATTTTAT